GCTTAAAAATATGGAAACTTTACGATATCATTATGAAAGAAAACACTATCATTGTATAATCTAGAAGCTTATCGAACATAGGGATTACGATGCACTATCAAGATCTTACCTGTATAGTTATCGCCATTAATTGGATTGTTGGAAAGAACATCTTGTGCTGAATGAGAAAACTCCATGGGCCTTGGTTGTGCACTCAGTGTTGTTTTGGATAAAGCTTTATGTAAGGATGTCTGCTTCATTTGTTCACCTTGATAAGCATTGGTCATGCTAGGGAGTGAAGGTGCTTCGACTGTAAAATTACTTTGTTGGACTCAGATTGGCTCATAAAGCAGTTTCTTAACTACCTCGAACTTTCGCCACTATCGGCCTTGTGTCAGCAAGAAGCCGATTGGATGAGGTATAGGACTGCGACGAATGAGGTTGTTGGGCAAGCATCGTTGAAGGAACAACACGCGCTAAGGTAGAACGGAGAATCTGCTGTTGCTGAGGTTGCGCACCAGAGGATCCTATTTGAAGCACGTTTTGACCGTGAGAAGCAATAAAGGGAGGATTGCTCATTGTTGGAAGACCCTGTCCCTGCATTCTGTCGTATGATGACGAGCTGGCAGCATTCAATAGCTGCCTCTGAAATGAAGAACAATTTAAGTGCTTGACTATAAAATTTAACTCATTTCAAGCTCAATGTACAGATTAGCAGGTCAGTATTCAAAGATAAAGTAAAACTGCAATGTTCAAAAACATGAGTAAGAACGAAATCGGCCAATTGAAAGGTCAAGAATTCTAGCAAATCAAACAAATTCTCTTAGTAGTGAAGGTATAGCTGCACATTCTTCGAGAGGATTCTGAGAATAAGCATCAAAAGGTTATTTACTTATTCTTCTTCTTTTTATGAAATTAGATAGAAGTTTTTAGATTTCTTATATGAAATCTCATTTTAAATGAGCACAAATAGCTAATGCTTTTAGAATCGCTTGTGAAAATGACTTAGATAATCAGGAGAATATGGTGCATATAAAAGGGAAATCCTTGTCCAAAATTCAAAACTAAAAAAACGTGAAAATAGAAAAGAATTATGGAAAAGGCGTAAATAGGCCTGAGGAGCAACTAATTTTCCAAATGATAGGCTTGACTTACATATGACTGAGATGAACATTGAGGACCAGCACCCAAATATACACCGGATCGCGGGTCAGTTATCGGAGATTCGGATGGACTTGGACTACTGGCAATGCTCTCCTCAGCTGAGCGTTTCACAGCATTCGATCCGTCCAGACCTTCATCAGCAGCACGTTTTCTTTGTGCAGGACGAATACGCCTAACAGGGAAATTAAATCAGATATTATACAATTTGAGATAGAACTAAGGTTAAAACATTCAAGAACTCACTTCTTTGGCTTGGGTTTTTCATCGCAAGTCTTATGACTAGCGTCAGAATCTTCATCAGAACTATCAGAGAATTTTTCAAACTGCCCCAAACGGTCAAGCAAAAAATTTTTGTCTCTTGATAATTTCAAAAGTTTTCTCTGTAAATTTCTCAACTCCTCCTGATAGCATTCATTCTCCTGAAAAATATGTATATCATAGACACGAATAACTTATCTTCGTCTAATAAGAATGACTTCATTTGCTATAAGAAAGTGGGAGAGATACGTCTTCTATGCCGGCAGAGGTAATAATTTTCAAAATTAACTTTCAGATATGCACTTAAGCTGAATGAAAATCTCTAGCATATCATATCTAGAACTATATAGAATGTCCTCTGTACAAAATATGTAAAAGTGTATAATAGTAACATTTTTACACCAGAGATAACTTACATAAACGAGGTATTTGAATCGTCTTTTAAGGATACGATATGCGTCCTTATTCGTTAACGTTGTAGCTGACTTATCCGTGTCGTATAAAGTAGCCAATGCACCCGATGCAGTTCCAGCAACACGACCGCTCTGAGGGGGAGAACGCAACGATACATTCAAGATCAAGTGAGCAAAAGTGTAAATACCAGTCGCAGCTGTTGTTGTGGGGCAGCCTGTTGCATCCCCATATGTGGCTGTTGTGGTCGCTGTTGCTGCAGTAATTGCTGTTGAGTCAACTGTTGTTGCTGAGCGGCAAGCACACTTCGTAGTGGTAAATTTGCTTGAGATGGTAGGATACCATGCGGAACCACAACCTGAAAAATGTCTGT